AAGTTTTTTGTTTTTCCTTTTCTGTCCTTCTTCTGTTTTTCTTGTCGCCCGTTTACATTTCTGTTGATGTTTAATTTCATGTTTGCGGATAGGTGTTGAGATCGTGGAGGGTGGATTAGCATGGTAATGGCGATTCAGAACCATCTTTAGTGGTACACATATGGCACGAGACGAAATACATTAGGGCGAGTATACGTATATATATATTCCTACACATTTCTTCCGTCTTGGTTCTCAATTTTTTTGCCATGCCACTGCCTATACCACCTACAGCTTACTTTTCTCCAACCCCTCCCTGTCAACACCATGTTCCATCTTTGTAGCACTAGTCTCAGCCTTCTAACTCGCCGGATTTCTCTAATGTTTCCGGGTTACAGTACTGTCTTCTGTATTGGGGAAGTTTTCTATAACTTTAGGGCGTTCTATAACTTTAGGGCGTTCTATAACTTTAGGGCTATTTAGAGACAGTGTTCTATAACTATAGGGCGTTCTATAACTTTAGGGCGTTCTATAACTTTAGGGCGTTCTACAACTTTTTATTATTTCGGGATAGTGTTCTATAACTTTAGGGCGTTCTATAACTTTAGGGCGTTCTACAACTTTTTATTTTTTAGGGGTAGTGTTCTATAACTTTAGGGCGTTCTATAACTTTAGGGCGTTCTATAACTTTAGGGCGTTCTACAACTTTTTATTTTTTAGGTGTAGTGTTCTATAACTTTAGGGCGTTCTATAACTTTAGGGCGTTCTATAACTTTAGGGCGTTCTACAACTTTTTATTTTTTAGGGGTAGTGTTTTATAACTTTAGGGCGTTCTATAACTTTTTCTTTTTTAGAGGTAGTGTTCTATAACTTTAGGGCGTTCTATAACTTTTTATTTTTTAGGGGTAGTGTTCTATAACTCTAGGGCGTTCTATAACTTTTTATTTTTTAGGGTTAGTATTCTATAATATTAGAGTGTTCTATAACTTTTTCTTTTTTAGAGGTAGTGTTCTATAATATTAGAGTGTTCTATAACTTTTTATTTTTTAGGGTTAGTATTCTATAATATTAGAGTGTTCTATAACTTTTTCTTTTTTAGAGGTAGTGTTCTATAACTTTAGGGCGTTCTATAACTTTTTATTTTTTAGAGGTAGTGTTCTATAACTTTAGGGCGTTCTATAACTTTAGGGCGTTCTATAACTTTAGGGCGTTCTACAACGTTTTATTTTTTAGGGGTAGTGTTCTATAACTTTAGAGCGTTCTATAACTTTTTCTTTTTTAGAGGTAGTGTTCTATAACTTTAGGGCGTTCTACAACTTTTTATTTTTAGGGGTAGCGTTCTATAACTTTAGGGCGTTCTATAACTTTAGGGCCTTCTATAAGCTTAGGGCGTTCTATAACTTTAGGGTGTTCTATAACTTTAGGGCGTTCTATAACTTTTTATTTTTTAGGGTTAGTGTTCTATAACTTTAGCGCGTTCTATACCTTTTATTTATTCTATTACTTTAGTCCTTTCTATAACTTTAGACTATTCTATACTAGTAGCTATTATATCCTTTTTATAATACTTATTATATCATACTATTATCTATTATTCTTTACTGTTAAGTATATCCTTATATTTTATAAAACCTTTTCTCTACTAGCTAGTCCTACTATACTTTCTTTTATAACCTACTAGTATTAAATAATACCTTTATATTCTTCTTTTATACTATCTCTATTTCTTGCCTTATCTATTAAGTAGATATAGATAGAGCTAATAGATCTATAGTTAATATAGATACAGTAGTTATAGTAGAGTACAGATATTAGAGTAGATATCCTTATCTATATATTTACCTACTACTAATAAAATTCCAAGTTACTCTCATCCAGCAAATACGGGTTTATGGTTTGTATGGGGCTGCGCATGTCTACACGGTTTTACATACAAAAAAGTGTACCTCCGAGCTGTTTTCCGCCGCACTAACCCCGCGACGCGAAAATCAAACCAAAACCCGTTCCTATAATATATAAGGAGGGCAAATGGATTCTCAAATACCAAATGCCTAACCAACCAACTAAGGTTAAATCTGCTGCGCGCAGTTCTTGGATTAGGCAGTTAAACTAGCGTTATTAGGCACTAAGGGGGCAATTTTTGCTTATGTCCGCGTCTATACTCCCCACAACTCCCTGTTGTTAGCGCTCTGCGCCTATTTTAGCAGCAGTTAGACTAAATTTAAAAGTTTTAGTTTTATAATAGCTAGCCTTGTTTCCTAGATTTCTGCCTAGTTTAGATTCGCTCTAATTAGTGGGTAATTAGGGGCTTAGAGATTGCTCTTCTACTTAACTAGGCAGGCCTAGGCCTATATGCTAAAGCAACCCTGCTATTGCGCCTAGTTTTGTGGTTAGCACCTAAAGTCCTACTGTTAAAGTTTTAGCAGTAGGCAAAATTTAGGGTCTATAGATAGCTAGCACTGCCAAACTATTTAATAGATCTTAGGGGACAGCCCTGCCTAGCATCCGCTCCTAGTAAGCGTAGCAAAGCGTAGGTTTTCTCCACTTAAGGCATGTATATGGCGAGTTTAAACACGCAGAAACGCCTATTAGGCTTTGTTATAGACTATTCCTTAAGAAACTTAGTAGGGGCAATTAAATTAGTTACTAGTTGTAACTAGTGCCTTGTGTGCTGTTATGCTAGTAGCTAGAATCGCTTCTGCGATTTCTTATCACGTACTTTCCACCTCCTTTTAGGGGTAGTGCTTGTGCGCTTTAGCGTATTAGGCATTAGGATTATTACCTAGTTAATTCTGCTAGTAGTTATATGCTTATCTTAAAGATTAAGCTATACATGTCTAAGTATAAGCAATTATACTGTGAAACTGCGAATGGCTTATTAAATCAGTTATTGTTTATTTAATAGTACCTTACTACTTAGATAACTATAGTAATTCTAGAGCTAATACATGCTAAAAACCCTAACTTTAGAAGGGGTGTATTTATTAGATAAAAAACTAACGCCCTTTAGGGCTTCTTAGTGATTTATAATAACTTTACAGATTGTATGGCCTTACGCTAGTAATAGTTTATTTAAATTTCTGCCCTATTAACTTTTAATAGTAAGGTATTAGCTTACTATGGTTTTAACGGGTAACAGGGAATTAGGGTTTAATTCTAGAGAGGGAGCCTAAGAAACAGCTACCACATCTAAGGAAGGCAGCAGGCGCGCAAATTACCTAATCCTAACACAGGGAGGTAGTGACAATAAATACTAATATAGGGCTCTTTTAGGTCTTGTAATTAGAATAAGTACAATTTAAACCTCTTAATAAGGAATAATTAGAGGGCAAGTCTAGTGCTAGCAGCTGTAGTAATTCTAGCTCTAATAGCGTATATTAAAGTTGTTGCAGTTAAAAAGCTTGTAGTTAAAACTTAGGTCTAGCTAGCAGGTCCGCCTTACTGCGTGTACTTATCTAGCTAGGCCTTCCTTCTAGAGAACCTTATGCCCTTTACTAGGCGTGTTAGGGACTAGGACTTTTACTTTAAAAAAATTAGAGTGTTTAAAGTAGGCCTTTGCTTAAATACGTTAGCATAGAATAATAGAATAGGACGTACAGTCCTATTTTGTTAGTTTCTAGGACTGCTATAATAATTAATAGGGATAGTTAGGGGTATTAGTATTTAATTATTAGAGGTAAAATTCTTAGATTTATTAAAGACTAACTACTGCGAAAGCATTTACTAAGGATGTTTTTATTAATTAGTAAACAAAAGTTAGGGGATTAAAGACAATTAGATACTATCCCTCCCTAGGGAGGTAATGCATGTGCCAGTGCATTATTAATAAACAACTCCTGTAGTTACTATAAAAAGTGCACTATATTTTAGGGAGTCTAAGGCTGCTTCTACAAGTTAGTAGGTACAATACTAACGTAGAGGGGAGGAGTAACGCTAGAAGTGTGTATATTTATGTAAAGCTATTAACTATAAGGCATAATATAGTTAATAGTTATTACACAACTTGTAGCTAAATGCCTATCTAAGTCCTTAAAGAGGTTCTTACCCCCCCTAGAGATTATTTGTATAAATAATTAATAGCGCTTATAATAACAGCGTAAAATTTTTAACCTTACACACACTTTTACAATAATAGCTATAACTCTACTTTAACACTAATTTTTTGCCCTATATCCTAGTCTAGTTTAGAAACACCTTAGGAAACTTTAGTGTGGAAGGACTAAATACCTCGTTTATAGTATTTGAATCCAAAAACTCTGCTATCTACCTCTAAGCCCTTTAAGCCAATCGCCCTTTAACGCAGTCTAAGTTCTAAGTTACTTAGGCTAAAAACTATATTATATTTAAAAGTAGATAAAGGGAAGAGAGTTAGGACCCTAAACAATTAACTTAAGAGTAAGTTTAAATAGGCATATTATAAAAAGTTAGTATTACATATTAACTTGTGTAGTGCCTAAATCTACCCCTGTCCCCCGTAAAAAGGGGAAGGAGAAGGAAGGAGAAGGTAAGAAGGGTAGAGTAGAGAAGAAGAAGGACTAGACTAAGCAAAAGCGCACGACTAATACTTCGCCTAACACGACACCGCTAACCAAAGACCCGCTAATACCTTTAAGACTAACTAAGAAGAAGAAGGTTAAGAGTAATAAGCTAGCAAAAGAGAAGGACAAGGCCTAGAAAGCATTTGCTAAGGACTAAGAGTTGTTCTTTTTCCCCCTGTTTGTTTACAGGAACCCTACTAATTTTAAAGTAGGACCTAGAAAACTAACTAAGCAGCCTAGAAGAAGATAACTAAAACGCGAAAGAAGGCCCCTATACTAAGGGAACCCACTAGGACACGCCTAACTAAAAGTTAGAAGGCGAGGCTTATAAGGGATAACCGCACTATCTAGATAGGTCTTGCCTGTAGATAGACAAAGAACCGCACTACTCTTTTCTCGCACTTAGACTTGTTTATTAGAACGTAGTTAAAAGGTATTAAGGGACTAGATAAGATCACGAAAGTGGCAGCGTTATACATTACTGCTATATTTAAAGACACAGCGTCTTAAGACCGCAGCATTATAAAGATTAAAGGTGCAGTTTTTTGTTAGCAAGATACTATAGTTCTAGTTTAGTGTTATCCTTTTAGCTAGACAGATAGTAAGTTAGACGTAATCTAGCACATACCCGCTCTAGGCTATACCGCGTTAGAAGTTAGAACTGCTGTATAGTCTACATTTGTCGCTACTAGTTACTATATACTATAGTTTAAGGGACAGAAATAGCAGAAGCAGGGTATTGTTAACAGAACTTAGGTGCTAAAATTTAGTTTAACACTAATATTTATTAAGCGCATTAAGACAGAAGACAGCTCTCTACTATTAG